AGGTCAAATGGAACACTCAGAGACGGGGTGCGCGGCAGGAGAGGAGACACCCGGGAAACCTGGGCCCAGGACGCCTCGCCAGCAGGGAGCTGGGAACTACAGTGGCACTACCTACCCCACCCCCTAAAGAGAAAGGCCTGACCTCGAACGCAGCCCTGGGCAGCTGCTCTCACTGGGGCCGATCCTGCTTTCAAGGGATGCTGGGTGATGTCTGGAGACCATTTTGGTTGTCACCACTGGGGTCCAAAGGTCACCAGCCCCAAGGGGAGCAGGTCCGTGGCACTAGGGGTCATAGGGGATGAGTGGAATGCCAGGGGTGGGGACACAGCCATACCTCCCCAACACAGACGCACAGGGCGGGGCCCCCAGGCCTCCTCCTGCCCTGAGGGGCACTGGCTGTGCCTCCTGCTGCACAGACAGGTGGTGAGGGTGAATGCCCACAGACTGGCTAGAGAGGAAAAACACCCACGGGAGTAAATCCCACCCCCCACTGGACAATGGCCTCCGCGCCCACAGCGTTCTGCAATGGGAAGTGGGATGAGGCCATGTTTGGGACACAGCACCAGCCTGGTCCGCTGTGTCCCCCCCGGGAGCTCAGGCAGGCACGGGCCCTGCTGCAGAGGGCGGGAGGGGAGAGCTCCGGCCTGCCTCCTGTGGGTGTCGACAGGACCCTGGAAGCTGCACCTGGGGCCCTGGTCTGAGGCTTTATCTAGGTAAGCCACCTGCTGCGGGAGACTGTATGTCTCTGGGATTTTACAGCCAGGAGAACCTTGGAGCCTCTGGCCTGTTGGGGCAGACCTGGGCTGTGGGCTGGGCCTCCTTCCTGCTGTGGGGCAGCCAGGGACGTTCTGCAGGCAGGTGACAGCACATCCACGGCCCTGGCCTGGCTTGCTCAGGGCAGGAGCTGCCGGCAGGCCCATCCGGAACTCCAGAGGCAGCTGCAACCAGCTCACGTGTGGTGAGGGGTGGGGGCCAACCTGCTTTCGGAGCAGCCCCTCTGCCCACAGAGGACCTGGGTCCGGCCGGGGGAGGAGGTGGCTGTCCTGCAGGCGGCCCCCACCTGGCTGGAGCCAGGCTGGCAAGAGAGGCCAGTGGCCATGTGCTGCCCTGGGTTCTGCAGACCGAGGGTGACAGGCTTCCTCTGCAAGGCCACACAGCACGTGGTTCTTGGCTTTTTGGGCCAGGTAGTCTCTGTGCAAACGACTCGTCTCTGTGCAAACGACTCGCCTCTGCAGGGCTAAGGGGAGGCAGACGCCCCCTCCACACCTGGGTGTGGCTGTACACACGGGATGCTCGTTTATGGAGTGAGGCTCAGCTTGGTCTGGCTGTCACAGGTCACACACCCTTTTAACTGCCCTCCCACCACAACCCTCTGAAGATGTAAACCTCCCGCTCAGCTTGCAGAAGGCATAAAGTTGCCTGCAGATCTGAGCCCCAGCTCACCAACCCATGAACACAGACACCCAAAATGCGCAGGGCCCAGCCAGGGCGGGGGGTGGCTTCTCATCTGTCAGCTCCCGAGTACAAAAATGACAGAAAAGGGGGCAACTGGTGGGGGACGCGGGGACACTGGGAGTCAAAGAAGGTGAATAAACCAACAAGCAAAAACGCCTGTAAGCGAGGGGAGGAAGGCCTCCTCCTTGGCTCTCTTTTGAAGAATGTGCTCCAAAGAAAGTGATCCAAAGTGCAAATGGGATGGAGAGCTGGGCCGGCCGGCCGGAAGCCAGAAAAGGGGGTTTCTGGGCTGCCCCTTCCCTCCAATCAGGCTGCACATAAGACCTGGACAAGGTCCAAACACCCCCACGCCCCGACCTGGAGCGTTTCCCTGCCCTTAAACGCTCCTCTGTCATCTGTGCGTGAGACGCTCCGGCAGCCTCTCCAGCCCGGGCTGCTTATGGGAGCAGAAAACCCGCCAGTCAGGAACCAGCTGCCCTGCCCACAAGCCTGAGAGTCCCCGACCCCACCAGATGGACACAGAGGCCTCGTGGCTAATGACACTCCAAGTGAGGCCCTCGCCGCCCAGGCCAAGCCTGACTACACCAGGGGGTACCTGAGCAGGGGCCGGCACAGCGGGCCTGGGGGCTCCAGGAGGGAGTCCAGGCCCTGGGCGCCCGCCTGGAACCCGATGTGTTCCGCGCTGCACGCCGCTGGTTCAGCAATTTCACGCTGCGCCACCTGACAATGTAAGCGTGGCGCCCAATCCAAGGCTGCACTTTCCAAATGTCACTTGTTTGTGAACACATGGCTGAACCCCAAATTGCTTTTAATATCTGGGCAGTCCCCACTGCCCTGCTGCAGTTTCAGCTGTGACAGCACCTCCAGGACAAGCCTGGGGCCCAGGGCTTACAGCTCAATCTGCTGCTGGGCTGGTCATAACACCTGCAGCGTCCCCTCAGGAACACAAACACACAGATACACGGCCTCTCAAAACAGCCACAGCCCTGAGATACTGAGCTACTCCCTTAGATCAAAGAGCCGAAATCCCCCCTTTCGGGTCTCTCTCCCTTTACCCAAGCCCAGAGCCTTCGCTAGAGACATCGGAGGTTTTCGGAACTGAGTCCTGGGGGCACTCTCAAGTCTTTCCTGCTGGCAAGTCCTGCTCTTCTAAACTGAACTGAAGGCAGAGAAACAGCCAGAAAAACAAAGGTTAGCGCATTCGTCCAGACCAGCGCAGCCAGGAGCAACGTCACTCTCGCCACCTATGCTGTTTCCATTTTCCCAGCAGCCAGGCGACAAAAGCAAAAAGAGCTGGCATGCCGCGGTGGCTCACGCCTGCAATCCCAGCCCTTTGGGAGGCCGAGATGGGTGGATCACCTGAGCCCAGGAGTTCCGGACCGCAGGGCCAACACGGCAAGACCCTGTCTCTGTAAAAGGGAAAACGAAAAAGTAAAAAGAAACAGGTGAAATTCATTGTATCTTTTTAATTTGAGACAGGGCCTCACTCTATTGCCCACGCTGGATGGAGTGCAGTGGTGCAATCATAGCTCACTGCAGCCTTGACCTCCTGGGCTCAAGCCATCCTCCCGCCTCAGCCTCCCAAAGCGCTGGGATTATAGGCGTGAAGCCACCATGTCCGGCCAAGAACCATCTTAATTCTATATACATACATACGTATACATATATATATACACACACAAACACATATATGTATACATACATACGTATAAAATTGAGATATACACATACATACGTACACGCATATAGATACACACACACACACACACACATACATACATATACATATATATATACTTTTTTTTTGAGACAGAGTTTTACTCTAGTTGCCCAGGCTGGAGTGCAATGGCATGATCTCAGCTCACCACAACCTCCACCTCCCAGGTTCAAGTGATTCTCGTGCCTCAGTCTCCCCTGTAGCTGGGATTACAGGCATGTACCACCATGCCCGGCTAATTTTTATATTTTTAGTAGACACGGGATTTTGTCATCTTGGCCAGGCTGGACTCAAATTCCCAACCTCAAGTGATCTGCCTGCCCCGGCCTCTCAAAATGCTGGGATTACAGGCATGAGCCACCACGTCCAGCCAAGGTCTGACATCTAGAAAACGCTGGGAGAGTCAGAAGACTCCGGATCTGGCCCTGTGGTCTCTCCCATCACACCTGCTCCCATGACGGGATCTGAGAAGAGTCCGCCGTCTATGCTGACCCTGGCCTGGAGGAACCGGAAGTCTCCACAGTGGGAGGGGCGCTGGGAGAAAGCACCTGCTCTCACTCTGGCCAGCCAGGTTTGGCGGGGGATGCCCCCGTCTGCTTCGTCGTGAGCAGCCATGTGGCCCCTGAACCAGAGGGAGGGGCTGAGGCTGGGGCTGTCTCCGTGGGAAAGACAGAGGGGTTGGGAGGAGCTGAGCTGTTCAATGCTGCCCAGAAACAGCAGCCCTGAGCTGGGGCCACGCAGCCGAGCCTGGCCTGACAGGACAGCTCAGTCTTCCTTGGGGGCAGCCAGGAAAGGCACCCAGGGGACTGCAGGGACAGCCCTGGGAGGACACTCCCTGGCCCCCAGCCCCGGACAGGCAGCCAGGAAAGGGATAGACCTGTGGCACCCAGACAGCCTCCTAGCTGCTTCCTTGCTGGGTCCCACACTCCCCCTTCTGAGGCTTGGGGCTCGTAAAGGCTTCCATGTCCCCGTCACCGGGACTCCAAGGCAGAGACTATGGAGGAGGGGTGGCCAGCCAAGGCAACCCTATCCCATCCATGCCCAGCAGTGGCTCGTATGGGCTTCCCATCCATCCAGTAGCCTCCCATGCCCTCCACATGGTCAACAGCAGCCACACAGACGGCTGCACATGGCGTTAGAAGGTGAGAACACGCGCTCGGTTCAGATGCCAATTGCTGTCCAACAATCGGCCTTCTGAGACCAGGAACAAGAATCACCAGAAAAAAACAAGCAAGGACCACTCACTTCGAGTCTCCCACAGGCAGGCTAAGCTCACTGTGACCTCCAGGGACCCTGCCAGCAGGAAGTGCCAGGCTCTGAGGAGCTGGGGGGGCTGCCACTGACAGGGAGGCACAGAGGGATGAGGGCAGATGCCTGAGTGCACTCCTGCCCGGCCAAGCAGCCCCCAGGAGAGCGATGTCAGCGAACAACCCATCCTCAGGACCACGACGGCCAGGAGACACCCAGGGGCCAGCCAGGAGGGGGACAATGGTACCAGCGGAGGAGAGACCACAACTGCAAGACCTGAGCAGTGGGCCGCACCCAGGAGGCCCACGCAGGCCACTGGGTAGCTGGTGTATAGAACGTCCCACAGAGGGTCCTGGGCCACTGTCGTCCACCCGGCCCGCCCAGCTCCTCTCCAGTCTTCAAGGTGAGGAGCGTTCTGGGCAAGAGCTCTCTGAGGAGCCTAGAGGCAGACACTGGTCAAGAGCCCAGGCCCTGGGCTGAGCGTAACAGCTGCTGGACAAGCTGTGGGGATGTGGCTGCAGAGGCAGAGAGGAGCCGCCTCCCGCCCTGCTGGGTCCTGTTCCTAGCCGCAAGCTCTTACCTGAGTGGCCACTTTGCCGTAATCAATCCACCGAAGGGTGGCAAAGTTGGTAGATTCTGCACAGTTGAACCCGTGATTGAAGCCGGCATGATAGCCGTAGGGAAATGTGATCATGAATTCCCCGGCCTCCTGCGTGATCTGTGGAGGGAAAGTGGACGGGTGAGGGCAGAGCCACTGGAAGTGCTGCAGGGGGCAGAGATGGGGCTCGAGGACTTCCCAGTGAGTGCCAGGGCGCCTGGCTTCCGAGCCCATGGGGTTGCACAAAGTCAAAGGTGGCTCCACGGGACTCCAGAGGCTCCATTTCCCACGAGGCTCATGAAGGACATGGCGCGCAACCGCATCCACAGCTCTGTGGCCTGCATTCGGCTCCTCCGGGCCCCTCCAGACCCCAGCAGCCCCTGCCCTGCCCCAAGGCGGCCATCAGCATCACCCTGGCGGGAGAGCAGCAGATGGAGCCGTGGCTGGACGTGATGCCCATGAGCGTGCCTCCAGCTGGACCTTCACAGGGAGCGATGGGGGCCTCCTGCTTTGGAGGTGGCTGAGTCACACAGTCACTGTGACATGGCCTGAAGCAGCTGGGGCTGGGGTCGAGGTGGGTGGTGCTGGCGGTAGCAAGAGTGCTCCCAGGACAAGACGCGGCATGCGCCCAGGACAGCCTGCTGCCCTCGCATGAGAAAGGAACCCCCACTGCACAGGCAACACACACCAGGAAGGGGGCCCAAGACACGCTGCCATCCCACGCCGTCTTCCCATCGCATCCCAACAAGGGGGGCTCCAAGGGGTCATGGAGATCCAGAAACACCTGCACGCTGGGGACAGGACCCAACACCACAGATCAGCACCCCGGAGAGGGGGCCAACACATCCAGATCCAGGTCTGATTCTGAAGGTCGGCCCAACAGACTCCGCAGGTCTCTGAACCAGGACCCCCTAAACTGAGGAACCGAGGTGCATGTGGCTGGGGTGGGGCCCACAATGACCACAGACCCAAGGTTTCCCAACAACCACCCCAAGGCCTGGAAGAAAAGGCGGGGCTGCCTACCAGTGCTAGCGGGCTGCAGCCTCCTGCCCTGGGAACCCTCCCCACTCTGGGGACACTTGAGATAACCACACTGACCCCCCACTCTCTGTTCACTGCTAAGCCCGTCAATAAAGCCTTTGAAAGACGACCATCCAGAAAGATCAACGACAAACTTGGAGCCATCACTCCCACCTGCCATACCCCAGGGCTCGGGCCAAAGGTTTCTAAGAGGTGGGGCTGTAGGCCTAATCCGCAGACGTGGAAACTGAGGCTCATGGACTAGAAGTGAGTGTTGAAGTTAAGTGGGTCCCTCGTCTTTATTCAACATCCAGTAAAACACACGGATTACAGGCTGCTCAGAGTTCTGTGTGCAACCACGGCTCCAGAGAATAACAGACCTTGCTGGGCACCCGGGCACCACCCCGCAGCCCTCCGCCAGGCCACCCCCACCTGACCACGCACGCGCTCTCAGTCACCAGAGACCTCGCTCCCTCCTAGAGGGTCAGGTGAACGTGTTGTACGGCAGCGACACGTGCCTGGTGTCTACCACTGGTGTGCGTTTCTGATATGTGTTCCCACCGTTGTGTGCACCAGGCGGCCACTCCTTTTCGTTCCTAAACAGGACTCGGTCGTGTGTGGATCTGTGGTCATTTATCTACCTCATGCGCGGATCTAAGGTCATTTATTTATCCTCCGGTTGATGGATGTGCGGCTGTTTCCCACTGGGGGCTCTTATGAAGAAAGCTGAGAACACTGATGTGCCAATCTTTCTGTAGACGTATGTTTTCATTTCTCCTGAGTAAATACGCAGAGTACCACTGCTGGGGCACAGGGTATGTGCTTCAGTTTCCAAGAAAGCACCGAGCAGCTTTCCACGGCAGCGGCCCCATGCTGCACCTGCCCGGCTGTGAACGCCGTGCGGCTGCCCCTCCTCACTGGCATTTGGTGGCGGTGCTCTGACGTGGCCATCCTGCGGCTGGCCACATCTCCTCGCTGTCTGCCTCTCTTCTACCGACACCGGGCCCCGACGGTGCCCTTCATTCCCGCACCTCCTTCATAAAGCATCTGCTCAGGCCCCTTACCCCGAATTCACTGGGCATTTCTCTTCGTACGTTTGATTTGCAGGAGTTCTCAGACCTGCTGATTATTACTTATTCCTCCAGAAAGATGAACAGAGATCGCTGAATACGCTGAAGTAACCAACAGGCCGTCAGAACTGGCGAGGCTTGCGGAAGCCAGCCACAGCGTCAGACATCAATCAGGGCCGACGCAGCTTGGAAAAACGCTAGTCCTTAAGAACACGGTATTTTTCTTTTCAAATAATTAATTGCACCAATCAAGGGAAGTCAGCGTGCATTAAGTTATATTTTTAAATTCACGTGAATTTAAAGTGACAGCCGCATGCAGCAGAGCGAGCATGCAGGAGAATATCGGAGTGGGGGGAGCACACACGGCCCTGAGGCCCCGCCCCCACCGTGCAGGGTGCAGGGGTTCTCTGGGCCGGGGGCTTCTCCCCACTACACTCGGAGCTCCGCGAAATGAGGGCCAAAGAAAATTAAGATTTGGGCCTTTTTCAAAAAATGTAATTACTGGGCCGGCACGGTGGCTCACATCTGTAATCCTAGCATTTTGGAAGGCCAAGGCAGGAGGAATGTGTAAGCCTGGGAGCCTGAGACCAGCCTGGACAACATAGTGAGACCCCATCTCTAGAGAAAAAAAAGAAAATTTAAAAAATTAAAGTAAATGCCATTACTGATTCCTTTATGCTATTTGAGCAGACTTCGGAAAGACTTCTCCCCACCGCTTCCTCTAAGGCCAACTGACACTCCCCGTCTCTTCCACGGGTCCATTCGCACATGGCAGAGAACCCGACCTGCAGGCAGGAATCACACTCAGAGCCTTCAGGAATCCACTGGGCTCCTGGAATGCCAAGATCAAATCCCGAACGGGGGTGATGGCGGCGGAGAGCCAGGCTCTCAGGGATGTCAGGACCTCATTCCCCCGGCCCGACCCCTCCTGTGAACCAAAGCCTGGAACAGGAAATGCTCTTGGTTAGGACAAGAAGATGACGTTCCTGCGAGGAAACCTGCGTCCTGCTGGCCTCATTCTGCACCCACGGCGTCTGTCCTCCGTGTCACTGCTGTCAATATTATCCGACAATCAATTAGAAGGCGCTGGGATGATGAATAGGCTTCACCGCAAAGTCGTCAGCAGTGACAAGACGCAGCCCCAGACGCCAGGCATGGAAAAGGCCCGGAATGCAGTTTCCTCTGTGAGCTCTTGAAGAATAAATGAGGGAGTCAATGGCAGATTACAGAAATACACACTTTTAATTATTAAAAAGCTCTGCTATTGATCGGCTTCTTCTCCTAGAAGTAAATACCATTACGGCGATTTATAAGTGGAGTGTGGGGAGTCACTGGTTTGAAGGCTGCCAGGAATTCAGATGAGGGGACCCACACGTGCCGCTCTCCGAAAAGGACGCTCATCTCGAGCCCGTGGTGTCTGAGGGGCTGGAGGCCAGTCCCCAGGCTGGGTGGCAGAGGGGCTGCGTGCTGCAGTGGGACAGGGGCCTTCACCGTGGCAGCCTCTGGAGAAACTGGCACCCGGCCCACCAGGCGGCTGGCCGGGGTGGGGAGGGTGGGGCGGAGTGGCTGCCCTGCCCGGATCCCGCCTGCTGCCATGCATGGTGCCAGCAGCCGCTCTGGGGCCAGGGGTGAGCCACCTCTGGGTCACGTTCAGGGACTTTACAAACCGTAGTACGATACAGACGCTGACCCGGGGGTCCAAGGCCACCCGCTGCCTGCAGGGTGGCCCACATCTTCAGTGGGCATCCCCTCCAGGAAGCACCACTTTAGAGAAGGTTCTAGACAAAGCAGCTGGAAAATCAGTACTTCTCACTTCCCTGAGCAATGCCATGTTCTGTCTCATTTTGCTGGTAATGAATGATGTTCCAACCAGAGGGCGGGGGAGAAGAGGAAAGGCCGGAAGCCCGCACTTCTCCGAGCGAGATCAGCGCTGTCTGATGAACGCCCGCGGCGGCTGGGAGGCAGCCTCCTGGTTGCGGCCCCACCAGGAAGAGCAGATCCCTGCTGTGCGAGCTGACGCTTTGGCGGTTTGATTGAAATGTCAGAAGCAACTTCTGGCTGGCTGACACTCGAGCCTCGCCACAGAGCATGCTCACAAGCCGGCACATCACTTCCCGTGGCACCTCCTGAGCTGGGCTCCCCACCTGCTCCCCACTCCTGCCCAGCACCCAGGGCTACAGCCCAGACCTGCCTAGAAGGTTCCAGTCACACGCCTCTCGCCTGGGCAGAGCTGGGGACACAGGCCAAGCCTCTTCCGTGCACGAAGGCTTCTCCATGGGGAAGGAGCTGCCTCGAGTAGGTGCAGTTGCTAGGCCAAGAGCACAGCTTGCTCTGCTCCTGGGACACCAAACTTCAGCTGTCCATCAATCCGGGTACGGGGGGCCCTGCCCGCCTGCCCTCTGCAAGCCAGACACACCCCACCCCCAGCTGCAGGTCTCCATTGCAGCAGCCCCTGAAGCAGTGCACTGAGTGAGTTCACAGTCTGCACAGGGCAGGAGCGCCCCGTACGTAAGTCACTTTACACAGGCAGTTCTCACCACCGCCGGTGACTTGGGCCATGGGGTGCCTGAGACCGAGGGTGTGGCCTGGGGCGGTAGGAACCTGTGGGAGGCCCTGCCCTGTTCCTTTGGCAGCTTCCCGCCAGGCCAGCAGGGGTCACCCTGCCCTTCCATCCCAGAAGCCCCTGGAGAGGGGTATCTGATGGCCACAACCAGGAGGAGGTTTTGGTTTGGTTTGGCTTGGGAGAGAAGGTTAACACCTCACCAGAGTCAAGCTCTGCCACTCTCCCTCCCCCATGGAAGAGCTGGAGGCTAACTGCTAACTCGGCCCTCCTCTGGCTTGCTAGCCATTGTTCTAGAAACTTCTCCAGGGTGAAGCAGCTTGTCTCCTGGAGTGCGTGTGGCCACCTGGGCCCAGCACCCCTCCACCCATAGACATGCAGGCCCTGCCCCGTACGCACCCGGCTGAAGGGGATCCCATACTTCTTCAGGATGATGGGCGAGATGAGGGTCATCTTGTGCCGCAGAAAGGCGTCGCAGCCCTGAGAGCTCCCGGGGAAGAATCCTAGGGCAGAAAACACAGGCATGGGTCTCCCGGGCCATTGCCGGCGGGTCGGCGAGGACGCTGCCCTCTGGGCGGTCAGGCCCTATCCTAGCACAGAGAGCGGGCACGTGGGAGCAGGGAGCATAGCCAGACCTGCCCTTGGTTCTCAGGGCCCAGTGTCTGCAGCTTGGGGGGAAGGGGAGGACGCAGGGGAGCCGCCCCACAGTACCCTGCTGTACAGTCGCTGGCGGCAGACAGTGGTGACGCCCTGTGGCCTCTGCGCAGTGACCACGTGAACGGACGCCTGGACTCGTCTCCAACAAGCGGCGGGGGCAGCCCGGAGTGTGCTCACCACACGAAGGACCAGGTTACTCATGTGACAAAGGGCCCACCACGGCACACACCTGGGTCCCTCACAGGGCCCAGCTATGCAGAGACCTCCCCTCCGACCTCCCCCCAGACAAAATCCACTGTCCAGCGGCCCCCAAGGACTCTCGGTCACCGAGAGAGCATGACCCTGGGGAAAGATGCAGTGTGGCTGCTCTCCTCTCGGAGATGATGTTCTACAACCAGCCTGGCCAAGGACGGTGGGGGTGACGGTAGGGGGTGACGGTAGGGGGTGACGGTAGGGGGTGACGGTGGGGGTGACGGTAGGGGGTGACGGTGGGGGTGACGGTGGGGGTGAGTGGTGCTGCCTCCCCTGTGGGCACCTGCCGTCAGGGCCATGAATGAGACTGAGCACCTGCCCCACACACAGCACCACGGGTGTCCTCACTGCCCTTGCACAGGTGAGGAAATCGAGGCCCAGGCCACCAACTGACTGACCCTTGGCTCCAGCACCACCAGGAAGTGTCAGAGCAGGGCCGACCCCGCGCCGTGGTCAGAGCTCATGACCTCTCCCTGTTAGGCTGGGCTGAGTGCACGTGTGTGGGGCTGTAGGCCCAGGAGTACGCGCCACAGCTGACTTAAAACAGCGCCTGGAAAGCAGGCACTCAGAACAGTGGCTCGGCACCTTCCCAAACTTCACAGGCAGGAGGGCAGGGTGGCTCACACCGGGAATCCTAGCACTTTGGGAGGGCGAGGCAGGTGGATCTCTGGAGGCCAGGAGCTGGAAACCAACCTGGCCAACATTGCGAGACCCCGTCTCTACAAAAAAGAAAATAAACAAACCCAACTTCCTAACTAGCACAGTTCAGGGACGTTACCGCATCACAGGTGAGGACGTGCATCGGGGCTGAGGTAAGGACATCCAGGCTGCCCAGAAGCAGCTGCTGAGGCCAGATCCTCAGTGTGCAGCACAGACCCTATGCCGAAGGGCCTTCCCTGAAGCAGCCGGTCACTGGAGCCAGCACGGAGGGAGCCTCCTCTCAGGCACTTCCTGCCCCACCACCCACTCTGCAGTGACAAGAGGGAGGAGGCCGGCCCAGGAGCCGAAGGACCCTGGGAGGAACGCCTGGGTGAAGCCCGGCTTCAGGACAGACTGTGGAGCCTCAGGCCTGCTCCCCACCAGGGCTGCTGGCTCTTCCCAGGCTGCACCTGTGTCCCTGCCCCGTGGCGGTAGAGAGGTGCTGCCCTGCAGGCGACAGGAGGTGTGGGCGTGTCACGCCTGCAGCAGACAGGGAGCCCACAGACGTCCCCTCCTGCCAGGACTGACCCGCAGCCTCAGCCGGCCTGAAGGCCCTTCAAGAAGCCTGCACAGACCCCAAGCGCCTCTAGGCTGGGACACGCCCCCAGTGGATCGTTGGTGGAAAAAGGCACACGTGTGTGTGCGACCACCAGTGCACAGAGGCCCGGCACAGGCAGAGGCAGGAGAGTGGGGCTGCGCCACCTCTGCCGGAACCTGGCTGCACAGACATCACGGTGAGGTTCTGCAAAGAACAGGGGTTTGACGAATCCGGCAACTTTTCTCTGCGCTAAAAGCATTTCAATTAGAATTATGACTGCCTGCCACCCGGCCCGCCGGCCCCTCCGCAGTTCCTCTTTTTAATGCACAGTTTAAGTGGCTCTCATTAAAGCTCTAACAAAGGCGCACATTTTAAGTGATTAGCACCAATAAGGCTCCAGCACATTAATGCCCTCTCCATAGGCCCCACAACTCTCCTGGCGAGCCCATGTGGGGCACAGCTATTCATTTTCCATATTAATTGCACACCCTTCCACCATCCCAAAGATGGAGCACGACGCTTCCGCCAAGAGTCTGGGAGGGGCACCGAGAACAGAGGGGGGTGACGTCTCTTACCCCAGCACCGCCCCATCCTCCCAGCTGTCATCCAGAGGGGAGGGCAGGATCCTGAGCCAGAGGCCATGTGGGACTCCAGGTGCTTCCAGGCAGCCACAGCCATCTGAGACATCCCACCTCCCTTCCTGACCCTCCTCTGGGTTCATGGCTAGGCTGGCTCCTAGAATTCTGGGAGTTGCTCTGCCCTGCTGAGGGTGACTATGGTCTCGCTTGTCACCCAGGCTGCAGTGCAGTGGCTCAATCATGGCTCACTGCAGCCTCGACATCCTGGGCTCAAGTTGTCCTCCCGCCTCAGCCTCCTGAGTAGCTGAGACCCAACCCAGCCCAGGCACTGGGCCCTCTACACACCAAGATCCTCACTGGCTCCCCCCTAGCCCAGGCACTGGGCCCTCTGCACACCAAGATCCTCACTGGCTCCCCCCCAGCCCTGGCACTGGGCCCTCTGCACACCAAGATCCTCACTGGCTCCCCCC